GGTGAACTCAGATGGCTTCTTGAAGAAAAACAGTAGGTGAGAGGAAATATGAAAAAACCAAACAATTATAGGATATGACTGAGGTTTTAGAAAAACAATCCACAAGAAGATGATGAGAGAGTGTAGGGGAGGAAACATTTTCATTTGACTCTTCCAGGTTCTTTGGCGGGTTGAATAGTCAAATTGACATAAAACCAATTAACAGGAGAAAGACTGATTTAATTTTGCACATATGAGGGCTACATAAGAATATGAGGCCCACAGGCAATTGGGCAACTGAAGCTTATATACCAGTCCTGATCTAGGAGAAGTGGGTAGGAGCCTGGGACTTCACAAAAGAAAAAAACAGTTCACAGGAATATGGCATGAGCAAATGTTTCATAAACAAATGTTCGCCATGCCATGTAGCAACAATGGGACGCAGCGAGGACTTTGAACAAGCAGGCTCCCTTGTGCTCCTCATGGTTATCGCTGGCGATAGAGCTCCTTCTGGAAAAAGGCTCTTTACCACACTCTTTTCAGGCAGTTAAGGGGGAGGTGAAAAGAAAAACTTTTGAGTCTTTGGCTTTTTAACGGCCATCAGCCTAAAATAATCCTCCTGCCAAAGAGACACATTTTGGGGTGGTAAATTTTGCTCCCCTACAGTAGCATTAATCGGCACTTTGTTCATTTAGTCATTCATTCAGGGGATAACAGCAGGGTGTCTCTTAGGTACCAGGCACAGGGAATACGACAAGACACTGAACCCTGTCCTGCTTCAACTTACACCCCAGTGAGGGTGATTCCTAATTAGGGAAATAGGAGGGAAATAGTTTAGTTAGGAAAAAAAGTTCTACAATTTATTTTCACACTTGAAAAGTAGAGTGTTATATTTTTGATCCTATAACAGTGAGGGTAAAAAGTATTCTGGTGGTATGGGAGACCCTGTTGTGGTGGAGAAAAGCTGAAATAACTACAGAATTTAAACTTGCTTGGGCACTAAAGTTAAATAACTTGACACTTTATCATGGGGACAGTCATAAAGCCATAAAAATTCAGAGCTGGAAAGGATCTCAGAAGTCATCTGGCCCAACACCTTAGTGTGATTGGTAAGGACACAAAGGAGCAGAGAGTTGAAAATTGTTGCTAGAGCTTGGATTTAAATATTTGTTCCTTGACATTAGTCCAGGACTCTTTATTATAAAACAGAGTTTCCATTCAGATCTCCATAGAACATTTTCATTTATTATTTCACCTTGCTATAAGTAGGCCCTTTCTAGGCTAGCTCTCACAAGTGTTGGGAGCACAATCAACGATGCAGTGATATTTAAGCAGGGTGGAGGATTAGGAGGAAAGACACTTGTTAGAGTGGCTGGTTGCTTCTTTTCTTCCTTCATGTAATGGGACACATAGTCCACAAAGGACCCAAGTGACCTCAGTTGCTGACTGCCGACAACGCGACAACCTATTCAGTAGGGGTAAAATCGTGGGCTCAGGAATGAGACATCTGGGCTCAAATTCCAGCCTCACCATGTATTAACTGGCTTTGTAATCAATTATGAAACATGTAGCAGAAAATTTGTTTAAAAAATGGAGAAAATACCGACGGTTTTGAATGGCTAACCTTGAAAGGATACATCAGGTTTAAGTTATCTTTAAATCAGTGCCACTCTCCCTGACCTATATGCAACAGTTTTTGCCTGGTAAAAACAGGACAGAGACTGACTGGTTAGTCCATTAGAACTAGTCCATGCCCTGCCATTCATCTCATGGAATAGTAGACCAAGTAATGTTTCACTTTACCGATGCAATAGTTATAGCTGTGTCAAATGAAAATTATGGCAATGGCTGCATTTTACTTCTTTGGTTTTATCAAGATTTAGGTAATTTCTGGGACAGGATCATGTGCACATCACCTTTCGTGTATGATGTGTAAAAAAAAATGGACAATTACCGAAGTGGAATTTAAGTATAGGAGACACTCCAGTCACACACAGGGCCAGCTCTAACCTTGGTGGAAGGTGGAGAGGCAAGAGGGAAAGAAGCAAGTTTTAAAAAAAATGTAAAATTATATCACATATATAATGAAATAAGGTAAATTCCCATCTGATCCTATTTTTCTTACATTTCTTTCCACTTCTCCTCTTAATCTAAAATTCACCTAAATCTATAATCTGTTTGGTTGTATTTAATAAAATATTGTTGGAATAAAGGAGCATACACTTTGTGTCAGACTTGTACTTAAGTAGACTTATGCGGTAAAGTGGTAACTGGTATATTCATTTTCCAGTTCTTGGGCTGGCATAATATTACATGATTTTTCTGCCTTTGCCTGTGTTTTGGGCACTTTTATATATATTATAAACAGAGCCAGAGAACAGACTATAACAATAAAAAAAGCCAAAGCTTTGAATGGGAATATAGTAATATGCCTTCTTATCAAAAAACTACAAAGCTTACCTGTTTTCTGAGATGCTTAACACAAATTACCATGGCACATTTAGTATCCACTGGGTTGGAAAAGTCATGCAAATGGACCCATGATTTTGTCACACAGAGTGATTTGTTAAGGTGGATATGTTGGTGTGTTTCAGCTGAGCACTTTACCAAATAAAGAAGTATTCATTGAGCACCCATAATGCAGTCTCCAACAGTGCCAAGTGGGAGAAGGTGTGTGTACCTGTGTGTATTAGAGAGGGAGAGGGGAGGGGGCGTGAGCGAGCATGGGAGCGGGGGTGGGATGGAAATGTTAGGCAAAATCATACTGATGAGAGTTTACCATAACTGGAAACTGGAAACACCATTTCCAATCACTTTGCTCAGGAAACAAAACTATAATAAAGTATATTTATTTTATAGGAGCATTGGCTTTGTTATTTATCCATAAAATTTATATATATAAATTATAAATAAATAAAAATTGAACAATTGAAGTTGATATGGAAAATGAGGTTATAAGTACAGTTGTATTAATTTAAAGAATATATTTATAATTTAAACAATTGTGAGGACCTTTCATTCTTTTGAATACTTAATTAAAGCTGAATAAGTTAATAAGGCAAACTTTTCCTCAATATTAAATTTAAATGCTCTGAGAAAAAGTTAATAGAGACATTTACGAAATACATGCTTTTCTTTGTGCCAAGGGAATATTTAACTAACTGGTATTTTCTCGAGGCTCTTTAAATTCTAAGATTGGGTTTATATACAGTGCTTGATGCAAGTAGGAATTTAAGCTTTTTACCTTAAAACTTAAGAACACAAAGAATATAAATCTAATGCAATTAAAGAGGTGATGGATTTTATGTAATTAATTTAACAACTTTCAGATTCTGCAGTTGATAATGAAGCCTCAAAGCCTCAAGTTGGATGATATACTTTGTCATTTGAACTTTACCTTGCGAGATGTTTACTAGCATTCGTGTTGAGTTCCTTCTGTCATGCTCATGAATAAGTCATCTCACTTTTCTAATTAAAAAGTAGACAAAATAAAAGTTAATTTTTTAAGTTGATGGGCTTATTCTCTCCTGGCTTACTCCTCCGTGGTATTTATGCTAAATTAATAGTAATATAGATAAACCACGAGTACAGAAACTGAATGCCAGTAATAAATGCAAAATTACTTTTAGAAGATCTGTTCAACATGTTATTAGTTATGTAGCTTCCTGTACAAAGAGAGCCAAAGTGCATGGTTATAACAAAGCCTCCGCCCCAAAGGTCTGCATGTCAGTTTGTGTCCAGGTGGTCTCCGGTTTAACATCATTGCCCCACACCTGTCTGTCTACAACTGGATGCTTACTGGTGGTGCAGGACACGTTCATTTAGACATCATTATATAGAGTATCTATATAAATATACATAATATAAAATTGTCTTCCTTTTTGTTTATAACTTATTTATTTATAACTTTATATAATAATGAATGGGTTTGTTTGTTTGTTTTTGAGTGTCAGGCATCATTACCTTTATTCTAGTTCCTTTGCAAGAAGCAAACTAATTATATTTAGAAATAGCACTATGGTACCATTAAAGCTTGAAAGGAACATAGAATTCAATTAATATTATAACTTCATTTTACAAACAAGGAAACAGGGACTCAGATATGTCAGGGAATTTTCCCCCAGTGGTCCAGCATATTCATGATGGAACTAAGAATAGAACCCATTTATTTAACTTTTAGTTCAGGGCTCTCAGACTGATTTCATTAGAAACATAAAAGGTGTCTATTAGAACTGCTCAACATAATCAGTGATTTTTGTGTGTGTAATTTTCTACTCCTTCTTTGTCTCTCTTTTGGGAGGAGAGTAAAAAGGTGTTCTTGCTCCTGTGGAAATATCAGAGGAGTGCTAAGGACTGCAGGTTGAGATCATATAGATTATATCCCTTTTTGGTGTCATTTCATTCTTATGTTTATGGATCATTTAACTAAAGGCATGTGTGTTTCTCAGGGTTTCTACCTTTTATTATGTGCATAATTTTAAAAGCATTTTAATCATGGCTTGAGATGGTTTATTGTGTTACATACTAAACCTCTAGCCTGGAAACTCATGACACTATTAATTGGTCAGGAATTTTGTTTGTGATTCAGATACAGGACTGCCTCCAGAATAAGTTTATTAAATATGACAACTTGTGTTATCTGTAGCTGGAATAAGAGTTCCTGCAGTGTGAGTCTAGGTCGTCCAAATAAAACAGTTTTTAATGTCATTTATTTTCAGCTGTTCACAATTCTCTCTTACATCTACTTTTCTTTCTTTTAATTTTCCTAAATTCAAGTGTGATCATATAATATAAAAACCTTAGGTTCCCAGGGAGTTTGGGGACTTTTTAAAGTGTGTGTGTTCACTTATTTTTTTTGCAGTGCCCCCTTTTAGTTGGAAAGCTACATTTGGGTACGATGTCACTGACAGAATTGAGCAATTTTTGTTTTTCTAACTTTTGTAGCTCTGGCCAGCTTCACATGAGCTTCTATCAGTTGAAATGACATCTTTGCCTTCAGCCAAGGGTAGGTTATTAGGTTATGAATGCCAAAAATGAGGAGTTGTGTCCATACTTTATTCAGTGTTAGGAAAAGCAAGATTGTAAAAGGAATGATCATCTCTTGAAGCAGAGCCAGCTACACAGCCGAGCCCTTCTTTCTTCATGAATTTGTACACAGTTCTTATTTTAACAGAACAAACTTTCAGAGGATACTCACATGGGACTGCTGAACCAGCTGTACAACTTTTATTTTGAAGAAAAAGTTGAGCCCCAGAGCAGCCTGCTTTAAAGACAGGGAGGGACTTAACTTCCCGAGCTTAGCTTGACCAGCATGTGGAAGGAGAGCTCTCATGGCTGCGATCACTTAGGGAGCTCCTACCTGGGTGCCACCAGGGTAGGAAGTTTTCTGTTTGTTTTGTTCTCTTTCCGAGAGTTCGGTGCACTTCTCCTGCCCATATCAGAGTGACTCTCGGTGGTTTTGCACACCCTGCTCTGTGGGGGAGTGCCCCAACGTGCCTGTCTTATGTGGCCTCTATGGACACACTGCTCAGCTGGCAGAGAACAGGGAAGTTTTCTCCCAGCACCCAAAAAGAGAAAGGAAACTAGTTTTTCTTTCTGGGCTCCTTGCAGCACAATAGATCAGGATAAGCTTCCACATTCCCTCCCTGGATTTCTGGAGTGGTTTTCCAGGAAGAAATTACACCCTCACCTTTAAATGGATGACCATGTCACAATCAGGAAGAAACATCTCCAAAGACCCATCTTTAGGTAAGTAACACTGCATTCCAGGTGGCTCAGGACTATCAGGAAAAAGGACTTTTCTCCTCCATTCTTTACTTGGGAATTCTGGCACTAAGCTACTGCAATGCAATAGAGTCTGCCTAAAGTTTAACTTCATACATACTGAGGGATTCCTTCTATTTTTTATTTTCTGAGATTCTGTGTGCAAGCCCTTATCAACTGAAAACATAATTTTAAAAACATATTAGCTCTTCAGGCACACGAATGACATAGTGCTGGAAGAAACTTTTAAAACATTATGCAATCTCTACTGTTTCTAATGGTTGCTCAGCTCTCTAAATGGGAGATACTGTGCTCAGTTCTTTCACCTGATTACACTCAGAGGTAGTGTTTTCATGCTGCCAGTGCTACACTTCTTTGCAGTAATGTGTGTGGAGACAAATTTGAACTTGATAGCTACTGTTCAAGAGTACATTTTACAGTTAGCTCAGGAGTATTTGTATAGCAGTTAAGGGAACAATGGAGCAATCAGAAAAATTTTACCCTGTGGTGGAATCCATGGTTAAGAAACATACAGTGTAACTGATTGAGCTAAGGTTTTATTTTGTGAGTAGGGACACTCTCTAAGATTGTAGCAATTTCTTTATTGACTCTTTAACTCTTGATCCTTTGTTATCTGTTATGTACTTTAGAATTCAGAATTGTGATTTAAGAATTTTGAAGTAGCTAGAAAATAGATATAAGCACTTTCTGCTTCTTAAAACAGAATATGGGAAAGCAAGTAAATTATATATCAATTTTGTGCTACCCCCAGATAATATCCTAAACATAGTGGAGATGCTACATTTTAATAGTACTAAATGTTAGAATAAAGTTGTAGTCACTGGTTGTTGATATGGAATTGACTACAGGATAATAGAAGTTTGTGTATGGAATTCCTAGCATTCTGTGGATATTATACAATAAATAAGAGTGGACCTCAAAAGTATGATTGTATAAAATGTGGCAACTTTTATGTGTTTATAAAGCACTATTACAGTATTATTAATAGCAATGATATGCTTCAGCAATGCTTAAAACAAAATTCTAGCAGAAATCCACTTATAACCTTCTCTTGAAGGTAAATTATATTTAAATCTATACATGTGGATTTCATATCATAATCCATGTCGACTTAAATATACATTTGTTACTTTTAAACAGCAATGGATGGCAGCAAATAACCAAACATCCAAAATGACCCCCAAATTTGTATACACCTGCCATATTTCCTAAAAAGTTGTCCCAGTTCTGTATTTTAATTTTTATTTTCTTCCAAGTGCATGCATGAATTCAAAAAGACATGGCAGTTGCACAGATGATTCTGATGTCAGTCTTGCTGAAGCACCAATCACAGAGGGCACCTGCTGAACTTCCAGAAGGCAACATTGTGTTGGGTAAAATCAGACCCTCTTAGCCAGCATCTTTAGTGTGTTACTTCACTGGGGAGCTGCAGTGATGTTGCAGGTGGTCCCTCCTCGCTGGTGTTGGCCAAATCCTTATTAGCTCCTGATGAATGATACGCTTAGGCGCCACACACAGGGAAGTTGCAACTCAGCTGTGCTGCTGTTCTCTTTTAGATCAAGAATAGATCCTTTGTGGAAGCTGAGATTCTTTGCCCAGATAATTAGAATAAAATTTGGTAAATTCAAGTGATCACTTCATGATCCTGGTGAGTTAGAAGAGAAAAAGTGGCTGTCGAAGAGGACATACTTTCTTTCACGCTAGCAATTGTTTCAAGCAAGTGTAGAAATGGCCCCTGACTAAAAACAGGTCAGGGCCAGGTGTGGGGTGGACTGGTCTGCTTCCATGTTGATGGCTGGTTTTGCCTGCCTTCCTCAGGGTGTGCCTGAGATGAAGACAAAGGGAGGCGGAAGGTAGAATACAAAATTCAAATGACCAGGCATATTGACTCAGAGAAAGTTTGGGGCTATTCTTCCGTTAAAAACAGCATGGGCTTTCTGATAGCTAATTGTACTTTTGAGCAAGTCGGGAAGTAGTTTAAGCGTGCTTTGGCATCTTTGGCCCTTATTCCATGCCCCACTTCATTTCCTTCACCAGCCTTCTTTTCTCAGGTCTCTCGTCTCCTTGGGCTACCCAGGACTGCCCAGCTTTTCACACTGAGACATCTTTCTCAGGCCTGCCTTGCGATCAGGAGCCCATGTACCAGACCTTTCCTTCTCACTGTGCACTTGTTTGTACCCCACTTCCCAAAGGTTTTGCACACTCGTTCTCAATCCACTTGCTAAGCAAATCTCTGCTAGACTGTTTTGTATGTGGTAGTCACAAGTTTAACAGGAATTCTGTGAAAATAATACCTTTGCTTTTTATATATAACTCAAGTAAAATATCAGTCAGTCATTTAGAGAGATTAGTGAAGAAATTAAAAAAATATCTAACAAATCAATACCATTCAAATCTCTAAATACAGGCTGCTTTCTCCTGCAACTAAACCCATAGCTTTAATTGAATTCACCCGGCTGTCTTTGACTGACTACAAGTGTTGAGAATCTGCACTAGGATACAAGGGAGGTTAGGCGTGATAAAGAAAAACAAACTGTAGTTGCCCTCACATGACATTCGATCTAGTACATCCCTAGAGAACAATGGCATAGGCAGATGATGGGTGCTAAAAAGGAAGTAACAACATCCTGGGAAATTGTAATGGAAGACACATTATTTCAATGATGACTAAATGCATTGAGAGAGATAACAGCAAAATTTCTTAAAATTTAATTTTGAGACTGAATTAATATCAACTTTTCATGAACATAATATCCCTAAATTTCATACACTGAAAGTCATTCACCAAGTGTTAAAAGTTGGTTTCGAGTTTTTACACTACTACCTGGTGAACATTGAAATTCCATGGCCAGATATGGTCCTGGGAAGACGGGGAGGGATCTTACATTGTTATTTAGATTCTGCCTCTAAAAATGCCCATGTCTTCACCTCACCAGTTAGGTTACCAGATCTATAATTTAAAGTCCTTTGTGGAAATTTTAGGTTAATATTTTTACACCAGGTCTGGGATGCAAGGAAGAAAGTCAAGTTTCCTTTACAACCAAGGTTAGAGTTTATGTGCTATTTTTCATGCATATCATATGTGACTTTGGGATCAATGAGACCACTCAGCCCTGAGCACATATAAGAGTGTGTCTTGAACACTTCTGCCTGTTAGACATTCTTGCAGCTCAGACTTGTATAGAAAAAAGAGATTTTCCCTTTACTCAACAGAAATGCTTTAGGTTTTATGATTTTTCCAGGAAGGAACCACTATCACAAAATATACATTAATGTGTTCAACCACACTGAGTTAGCTCCTTGACACTTAGAAAATAAAATGATGTAGACCCTGTAAAATCCAAGGTGGGAATCACGCTTGATATTGAAGACCTCTAATAAAGACACATTCCCTTAGACTTTTAAATATCTCTCTTTTGGCATTACCACAGAGTTTTATTTTTGGTAATTACAATTTATCTCTTTATATAGATTCAATAATTTACAACACCCTTCAAGTGAAGTACTTTTATGTAACTCTCATAAACAATTGCTAAAGACACTTTCATATTACTACATACTAGTAATAATGAACTTTATATATTCCCATGAATAGATCAGTCTTACACTTGATGACAAGAAAAATATTTCTCCTAATAAAATTACATCAATGAAAATATCTCACCTGAATTGCACCACCTTAAAGAGGTTTAATCTGGGTTTTTATTATAATTATCTTCTATTTGATTTGATGCTTTATCAGATTTTATTATTATATGCACATCATTTTCTGTGATGCTTCAAATTCTTTGTAAAGGTAGGTAGGGAAAAAGTGAATGTAAAAAAATAAATAGAAACTTCTTTTACATGTTCAGCTTTATTTAGTGTTCTTTGGAACCAACAGCTTTTTGAACCTCTTCAGAGTTCAAAAGTAGATGTTCTTTTTGTGGGACTTTCCATCAGAAGTAGCACTGAAAAGCCATCAATGGAATCTGCAAATCGTTCCTCATCAGCCCCAGAACCAAGCCTTGTCTGTGCATCCAGGATTTGAGACATTCAAGCACACAAGTCATGCGGCTGCCAGGGCCCCAGACAAATGAAAACCACACTGAGATCTTCGCAGCCTTTAGAACGTGCTGTTTCGTCTCTTCATGCCTTTAAAGAAGTTTTATTTTTACAAGTATCTGTTAGCAGAGGAATTCTGAGTGTGTTCTTGGCAGGCAAAATCTCTTCACATAGAGATGTAGAAAGCAGTAAGATGAAATGAAAAAGCCTAGGAAAAGAAAGGCAGATTCTAATTTTGTTTGAGGGCCTCATAGGGATGGTTAGGAACCTTACTGCTTTGTCTGAATTCTAGTTTTGAGGTTGTTATCTATGCCTCATAGAGGAATATTATAAAATACTAGTTATACATTTAAAATCACACACCCTTTTGGGAGTATAATCATTTTTCTTTATTCCCCTATTTAAGCTCAATGTATTAACATCAGTGTCAACACTAACCAGAAAGTTGCTAATATTCAAGGGCTATATATCACATTTGAGATTTTCACATATTAATACGGTGAACACTTGACTGGCTTTGCTAACTTGTAGTAGTTTTCTGGGCAAGCTATTTAGATAGTATTCAATTATTCAGATGTTTCAGACCTTCTTCCTTCAGTATTTTGAGAGCAATAAAAAGCATACACAAATAATATAAAATGTGAAGTCACTTCAGAATATTAAAAAATTATAATACATTATTGGACATTGATATTTTTGTCTTAGAAAAGTTTAAGTATTTATGACAGTCTTTGACATAAACCTGTTTTTGACACCTTTCTCTCACCAAAAATATGTACTTTAAACAGAAATTACTAAGTACATAGTAATCAGACTGAAAAGTAATTACATAGAAAAAATTATGTTTGAAGTGATAAAATAGCATAATATATTAAACATTTTTTAATGCAATGAGTTACTCATTGGAAAAAGTGTTATGT